ATTTGCAAGAATTTTTTGGTGAATGTAGATTTTGCGTAGATTTGATTATCATCGAAATTAAGTCGAGGAGGACTAGTTGCCGAAATTATAATTGTGCTAACAACATTCACTTTACAAAAATGCGATAGTTTAGTGAATAGTAAGTAAAAATATTTATTTAGGTTTAACAACTAACTAATTTATTGCCAAATACCTCAAATCGGTTAGTTATATGGATAAAATGCCTAATTACAGATACTTTACTTGGAAATGAATCTAAATCTACATTAAATGGACCAGTCTATTTTAATTATTTTATGCATAGAACCCGAAAAACCAAATTGTTGGAATGATGGGACTATAACCTTAAAATACCGTCAAAACACGAAACTATATTGATTTTTTCTTGCAAAGAAGTGTGTCAGCCTCAAATCACTCGAAATATTAAATTGAACACTCTTTGGTGGGAAAATGCGACAATAACCTTAAAAATATCGACAGTGGAACGAAACCTGTGTATGACGAACATGAAAAAATTATACTTTTAATGACAATTTTTATAATAAAACCATCAAAATACAAAAAATGAGGGCATATTGCCATAAAAATAACTAAATTGGGACGGGACCTTTATGTTGAGGCTATGCCTACATGACCTGAACTTTTTTTTGAAAAAAAATATTTTCTCCGCCAAAGAAAAGGAAAGTCAAATTCAGCTCCTTCGGTTTAAAATTTGCGGCTCAAATCTTCAAAATATTGAAAATAATGCGATATGGGGATCATATCAAAATATGGACCGATTTTCAATATTAAATATCATAATGTATCTTAAATATTGTGATCTCTATAGTGATATTCATAGAGAGACAGACTGACGGATGTGGTTAAAACTTTTAGAATTTTATGATGATTAAAATATATACTTTAAGGGATCTCGGTCGATTTTTTTGAGATTTGCAGTAGACTGACCTACATATGTATATAATTTACCCAACAACTTTTTTGAGGATGGCCCCTCACAGCTTTCGTGGACCTTGAGAAATAAACATGGTACGTTCGTTTTGCTTCGAAACTATTTGCTTCAAAATCTACACTTCTGTAGGCCTTGGAAGATATTTAATATTGAATTTGGTTTTTAAAAAAAATTGGTTTCAATTGATTTAAAAAAAATTGCTTAAAACACCAACGCTAATTATTCTGCTAGCTTATGTGAGTCTGGAAAAAATTTCCTTTAAAAATTCTACGTAAATGTGAAGCTTGAAAAACACTTTTTTGAATATATGTATAAGCATCTGTGGGTTCTTAAAAAGTCAGGTTTAGTATTGTGATGAACCTATAAATATATTATTTCACAATCCGCGCTTATGATTACAATGGCCCTTGACAAAGTATTCCAAAACCAGTGATCGGAGTAGTAAGTCAAACGGGGCCGACCATATGATACCCTACACAACTACCACGAAAATCTAACATTCTGCGGTTCTATATTCAGAGCAATATTTCGCAATATTAGCATCCTCTTGACCGATTATAGGTCAAGAGCTCCACTTTCTAAACCTGCATACTTTACAATTTTTTCCCCTTTTTGGTTGATTTGACCCTCAGAATATTGCACCCTCTAAATGTCATCTCAACATCACCGAAAATTATAGTCGTCGTCGTTGACCATAATGTAACTTAATGTAAATTTTCAAAGCAATCAGCGCGACATTTGGTATCAACTAAGAGGTCCACCACTCCTCTTGGATATACTATCAACTTCTCGGGTCCATGTTCTTCAAGAGTAAATATATACGCCTCGGAATACAAATTTTGTCATTTTTCACACAAAAGTCTATGTCCATTTGACCCGTTTAATATTGATCTACCTTCATCAAAACAGTCATGCTTATTCTTTAGCCGGATTCCATTCCTAGTGAAAATTTGGGATATTCGGGCCATTATTGTATCCTTTAGAGAAGCCCGAAAAACAGACAAACATTTTTTTTATTAATTTCATCCACTAAATTTTAACCGATCTATAACAACAATAATAGGAGTCTTCTTTGGCCAGAACCCGTCCTATATGCACAATTTCGTTGGTGCCTAAATGTGGACTATATCGTGTTTACAAATCATAATGGACAGACGGACGAACACACACATGTGCAATTTTTCACAGCTAGTCAAGATATGAAAACCCGTATACTAAAAAGTAAGTATAAACTATAATACCCTTACACAATAGTTGTGTAGGGCTGGATAATTATATTAATATTTTTCCGCCACGTCCTTCGAATATTATTCTTATGAAATCATCACTGCAAAAATGCAAACTTATGGATTTACTGTGGATTAAAATATATTCTACAAAAATCCACTCATATTGTCAGCTGGTCCTTTAAAAATTATTCTTTAAAACTCCAAGTTTATTGATCTGCTAGTCTTTAAAAATATATTCTATAAAAGTCCAAGACTTTTCCTGTGGTGATCCATGAAAACATATTTTTGGAAAATCCATGATTATGCTTTTAAAAGTTTTGATAATGGTTCTTAAAAAATATTCTTTTACAAATCTACGCATATTGTATAGAGTTAAAGCTTGAAAATATATATTTTTAAAATCCACACCTTTTTTGAAGGTCTTGTATAAATATTCTTTAAAAAATATTCTAATGATTTTGGTTATAATGGTCCTTAAAAAATATTCCTTAAATCGGAACCATTATTAACGTTTTTATAAAATTCGCAAACCTCCTCACGCAAAACCTCTTCACTATGTCCACGTAATATCTAAGCTAATAAATTGTTGTTTCCAAATCGATTAGCAATCATAATATTTAAATATTGGCGCTATTCATTGTTTCTACTACTAGTACATTTACAGATTATCTCATCTTAAAACCACAATCTCTATTGATTAATACATTAAGTTATGTTCAAATTGACCATTAAGGAAAAAAGCCAATTCTAATAAAAAATTCATAAATTATTCACATTCAAAATGCATAAATTATAATGAGAAATAAATGTATTTTTTGTTTTATATTCTCAACAGGTATCCGAATGCAAATTGTCGTCATAATTTAACAAACGACAATATGAATTCATTCAATAATTATCAGCTGGTAAGTAAATTTAATTTTTTAATATATATGCGCTCATTAATAACAAAAAAAAAACGACAACAATTTTAAAGCTTAACTAATTGATTTTTACAAATGATATGCGAACATTTCTGAATGTTGGCATATCACTTTCGTTTTCACACCATGTAATTATGAAATATTAATTTCATTTTTTGTTTCTTTTGTGTGAGCCGAGTTTTTGTTATTTTTAAATGAGGAAGAAAATAAATAAAGATAATTTTAGGGAAATGAAAACAAATTAAAAGAAGTTTACGGTTTCCTCAACAGAATATTTTTAAAATATTTGCCACTAGATCTAATGGTTCTTTAAAGTATTCTAACAACCACATCCATAGCCGCCTCGGTCCCAAAGAAATACGATTTAAAAATATTTTTTCTTGGTTTCCAGAAAATATTATTGAAATGAAAATTCACGGTCTTTTAACTACTGGTCCTTGAAAAAATATTCTTTAATAAGTCCACGCCTATTTAACTACTGGTCCTTGAAAAAATATTCTTTAAAAAGTCCACGCCTATTTAACTACTGGCCCTTGAAAAAATATTCTTTAAAAAGTCCACGCCTATTTAACTACTGGTCCTTGAAAAAATATTCTTTAAAAAGTCCACGCCTATTTAACTACTGGTCCTTGAAAAAATATTCTTTAAAAAGTCCACGCCTATTTAACTACTGGTCCTTGAAAAAATATTCTTTAATAATCCACGCCTATTTAACTACTGGTCCTTGAAAAAATATTCTTTAATAATCCACGCCTATTTAACTACTGGTCCTTGAAAAAATATTCTTTAATAATCCACGCCTATTTAACTACTGGTCCTTGAAAAAATATTCTTCAATAATCCACGCCTATTTAACTACTGGTCCTTGAAAAAATATTCTTTAATAATCCACGCCTATTTAACTACTGGTCCTTGAAAAAATATTCTTTAATAATCCACGCCTATTTAACTACTGGTCCTTGAAAAAATATTCTTTAAAAAGTCCACGCCTATTTAACGTCTGGTCCTTGAAAAATTATTCTATAAAAATCCACGCCTATTTAACTTGTGGTCCTTGAAAAAATATTCCTTAAAAATCCACGCCTATTTAACTGTTGGTCCTCGAAAAAATATTCTATTAAAATCCACGCCTATTTAACTACTGGTCCTTTAAAAAAAATATTCTATTAAAATCCACGCCTATTTAACTACTGGTCCTTGAAAAAATATTCTTTGAAAAGTCCAAGCCTATTTAACTCCTAGTCCTTGAAAAAATATTCATTAAAAAGTCCACGCCTATTTAACTACTGGTCCTTGAAAAAATTTTCTTTAAAAATCCACGTCACTTAAGAAATATTTTTTAAAAATCAAGCTTTAATGGTCCTTAAAGCAATATATTTAACAAATACACGCCCATGATGACCCTTGACAAAATATTTATTTGTCGTCCCATGAAAAAAATCAAAAACAATTCGCACTTAATTTTGATCGAAGAAAATTATTTTTAATTCATGCCCATATTGATCCTTGAAGAATTGTTTTTAACCAAAATGAAAGCTAATTATTTCTCAAAAAATATAGTTTAAAAATCCGAGCTCACGTGGATCCATGAAATAATATTTTTAGTCTCATGGTATTGGTATTTATTGGATTCAAAACATCCTTTTGCTATTTCCAAATCAAAAACTATTAAAACCAAAAAGAGACATTTTTTACGTTTTCACATTCCTCAACCTGTTGCTCTGTTACAGCATCCATACTCCACTACAATTCTTCAAAAAACAAGAGACTTCAACCGGATTCCTGGGAAGTCAACATTGTCATTAACATTACAACTGTTTTGCAATGGGTGTGCGTTCGTATATTTGTATGTATATATGTATATATATTTTACACGTTGTTATTATTTTCACTCACCTGCAACATTAACTCACGCAGTTTATCCAAATCATCACCTCGTGACCTTGTGGGTAAATAACGGCCTTCGCAAGGTTGTTGTTGAGCCATTAAAACCACAGCCAACAGAAGGAAACACCACAGGCCCAAACGGACGCCAGCATGCGAACTGGGTGACGTTGCTGCTGCCGATGATGATGTTGTTGTTTTGGATGTCGATGATAAAGAAGACAACCGTAAAGCTGATGGCGACACTGCTTCGGATGATGATGAGGTGCTGCTGGCGGTCAAAAGACTTTCGTTGCTGGCACGTTTGTTGAAATGCATTTTGTACGTTTCCGGTTTACAAAAATTTACGGGTTTTTTACAATTGACTCTTTTTTATTGTTGTTAGCTGTTGTTTTTGTTGTTAAATAAAGTTTCACTTTTATTTTTGGAGGTGGAGGGTATTTGTAGTTTAACTGCAAATCAGATGAACTACTACAGGAGTTGTTAAAGGTTGATGGGTTTCTGGTGGTGGTGTTGTGTTTTTGTTGTTATTCCCGTTGTCCAGCTGCTTCAACTTGTTGGCTTTGTTGGATATTTAGGTTGTTGTGTCGTGACCACAAAAAACAACAAGGCAACATGCAACAGATAACTGCAAGACAGACAAAAAATGCAAAAAGAAATTGGTTCGCAATCATTATTAAGTGCACACAGCAAAAAAAAAACAATAACAATAACAACATGAAAACACATTGTTAAAAAAATGTTTGATTTCGTAATGTCCGAAAAAAATATAAGTTTAGTTGTTTTTTAAAGGGTCGCATTACATTACACTGGACCAACATAACAGCAACAACAGATGAAGATCTCCAGAGCTGAAGTAGGTCTGAGGTTTCTGCAAAAATTTTAGGTAAAACCTTTCAGATTTTTTGGGCCAAACTGGAAAATATGTAGCAAAAATTTGTGTGACATAATTGAATGCCAGCTCAGGGAAGGAGCTGGCATTCAAATCAATAGAGCCTCAAAATTGGATTTTTTTTAAAGACCAGGAACTAATATGTGTGGATTTTAAAATAATATTTTGTTAAGGACCATAAAAAAAGAATATTTTTCAAAGACCAGCGAGTTTTCAAGAACCTTGAGTTGTACAGGCGAGGATTTTTAAATAATATTTTTTTCAAGGACCTTGAGTTAAATAGACGTGGATTTATAAAGAATATTTTTTTCAAGAACTAGGAGTTAAATAAGCTTGGACGTTTAAAGAATATTTTTCAAGAACCATAGGCGTGGATTTTTAAAGAATATTTTTTCGGCGGCCAGAAGTTAAGTAGGCATGGATTTTTAAAGAATAGACATGGCAAGTTAAATAGGCATGGATTCTTAAATAATATTTTTTCGAGGACCAGCACTCAAATGTGCGTGGAATTTTAAAGAATGCAAAGAATATTATTTCAGGAACCAGAATACTAAAAAGCGTGGATTTTTAAAGAATCTTTTTCAAGGACCAACAGAGCCATAAGCGTGGATTTTTAAAGAATATTTTTTAAAGGACCAGAAGACCAATAAGCGTGGATTTTTAAAGAATATTTTTTCAAGAAGCAGAAGACCAATAAGCGTGGATTTTTTAAGAATATTTTTTCAAGGACCACAAGACCAATAAGAGTGGATTTTTTAAGAATATTTTTTCAAGGACCACAAGACCAATAAGCGTGGATTTTTAAAGAATATTTTTTCAAGAACCAGAAGACCAATAAGCGTGGATTTTTTAAGAATATTTTTTCAAGAACCATAAGACCCATAAGGGTGGATTTTTAAAGAATGTTTTTTCAAGGACCAACTGAGCTATAAAATAGGATTTTTAACGAATATTGTTTCAAGGATCACAAGGCCAATAAGAGTGGATTTTTAATTAATATTTTTTCAAGGACCACAAGACCAATAAGCGTGAATTTTTAAAGAATACTTTTTCAAGGATCGGGAGACCAATAAGAGTGAATTTTTAAAGAATACTTTTTCAAGGATCGGGAGGCCAATAAGAGTGAATTTTTAAAGAATAATTTTTCAGTGACCAACTGAGCCATAAGCTGGGATTTTTAAAAAATATTTTTCAGGGACCAACAGAGTCCCTGAAAGCATAATTTTTTTGAAGGACTAACAGTCCTATAAGTCTTTTAATATTGAATTCTTTAAAAAATATTTTTCATGGACTAAGAGTCGTCTCGGTTTTGATTTTATAAAGAATATTTTCAAGGACTCCGAGGATTTAAAAATAACTTCAATTAAAGTGTTTCCAATGACTAAGAGGATTGTATGACGACAATTTTTTCAAGGACTAGGTCTTCTAAGTGTGGTTTGCTTAAAGAACATTTTTCATGGACCTCGATTTTCAAGAATATGGGTTGGTATTTTTTCATGGAGTTTGCATGATTTATTTAAGATCAGTAGATTTTACGGGCTGTGGAATTTAAAAAAGAAATAGTAGGATTTCTAGAACCAAGTAACAGCGGAGATATGAGGTTGGATTTTGAAGAATATTGTTTTTGGACCAGCAATAATTTTCCAAGGGCTATCAGAGCCATAATCATTACGCATTCAGAAACAATTCAAAAATATTAGATTGCATCGGCCGGGAATCGAACCCGGGCCGCCCGCGTGGCAGGCGAGCATTCTACCACTGAACCACCGATGCGTGATAAAGTTACCAAGGGCAATAAATTCTAAGAATTTTTTTTTTTAATTCAAGAAAATCAAAATTATCTGACCATTTTTTTTTTTTTTGAAATTTGTATCAACTGAAGCATACATACATATAGAAAACATTACATAATTCCAAATTTTTTTAAATACTTTAAACTCTCAAATCTATCTAATTCCAATACAACAATGTATTTAATATGGCAATAACATTTGAAATTGCAACAAATTATCTAAACCCCAATCTCTCATATCCCCCCACACACGCACTCACTTTGATAATGATCCTACAGAAAATATGCTCGTAAAAATTGGGGACAAGTACTTATTTTTGTAATGTCACTTCAAATGATTTATCGTTGGATGGGGAATAAAAACAACAGCAACAATTACTGAAGCCATGATGATGACAGAAAAAAGAAATGCAACACTTTGCTTTGGTTTGTTGCTGTAAGATAAGGAGTTCAACATCACCCCACATATGTGTTACAATTCGAAGCGTAGTAGGAGGTGGTAGTTGGCAATAAAACAATCTGTTGGATGGGCTATGGGATAATGAATCATATTTGGAGTATTTTCCTTGTGACTATAAAGAAAAGGAAAGGCTGCAAGGTTGAAATTTTAAAAGGATTAAAAGACATTGAGGAAGTTATAGAGAACTTCTTCAATGTATTGTAATTGTTGTAAATATGACAACAATAACTCTGACTACTAAAGTCGTATATATCTAATGAAACTTTGGGACGTAAAAACAACTATTAAAATTAATTATATGTTTATTTTGTATTTCAAATACTGTGTTAAATTTAAACAGATTTATCTTTAGGATTCGGTATGTTTATTATTATAATTCATTGTCAACTAAACACATTTTTCCATTCACCTCTAAGATACATATATCGGCATCCATTGTATCACATACCTTGACTAGAACATTTATAAATTGAATATATTTGTATTCGTAATATTTTCTTCATTAGAAATTAAATGCATTATAATCCACTTTGGGGTCTCTTCCTTGAATAGAATTGACTGATAAGTGTGGAATCTTCTACGTATACTTGACGTACAGTGGCTCCATCGAATAATCGGACAAGTGGTTGTCAGATATAATAATGCTATACATTTCAAAAAAATTGTTTAAATGTGTAGTTTTTTCGCTTTTATTTACACATTACTTACTTATATTTCTGAACAATACAAAAAACAACAACTTTCCTAGTGATAACAGTAAATTTCGCCAGAAAAACAAAATTAACTCAATTTATTGTGCTCAACGCAAAATCGGACAATGCAAAGTATCAATGTCAAAAAATGCAAAAAATCGAGAAATTAATATTTAGTTGCTTATTCTTTGTTGTCCAGAACGGCCTGTAAACGCTTCGGTATTGATTTGACCAAATTCTGGCATACCTCCGGCTCTATGGAGTTCCACGATTTCAGTAAAGCCTCCTTAAGCTGTACCAAGGAGTTACATTTTTTTCATACACTCTTCTAGCTAATTCTTCGCAAAGATGCTCAATTACGTTAAGGTCTGGGCTCTGTGCAGGTGTTTGTATAAGTTTGGGACAGTTAATCAACCAAAGCTTTGCAACACCTGATGTGTGCTTGGGATCGTTGTCTTGATAAAAGGCAAAGTTGTTGATACCCAATTTGTCTGCACTTTGATTTACATTTTGTTTTAAAATGTTGAGGTAGACAAATTTGTCCATTTTACCATCAATAAAATGCAAATTGTATATTCCCGCACTCGACATGCAGACCCAAAACATAACAGAACCTCATCCGTGCTTAACAGTGGCTTTTGTATTCTTATGATTAAATTCAGCATTTGGCTTACGCCACACATACATCTTTCCATCTGATCCGTGCGAATTAAATTTGCTTTCGTCAGTAAACAGATCCTTAATATGATGGAAACTATCAATAGAAATGTATTTTAAGATGATCTATCATCAAATTACCTGCTTCCAAAAATCTTCTAATTTTAGTAAATACTCCTTGGCATATTTTATTCTACTGTTTTTATTTTTAAGGCTTATAAATGCTTTTTTTCTTGCAACTCTTCCATAATAATCATATTTATGTAATGTATTGCGAATAGTATTTAGGCACACAACTTTTCAAGTGCGAGTTTTTAAATTTATTTTAAGTTCTTTTGCGCTTTTAAATGGATATTGTTTTATTTCTTTTAATATCGAACGCTCTTCTCGCTCATTCAATATCTTCCATTGACCTTCTCTGCTTTTATTGGTCAAAAACTCATCACGGAACCTCTTTATAATGTCGTGGACAGTAGATTTATTCATTCCAACCAATACGGCAATTTCTCTTACTGTTTTACCTTCATAATTCAATTTATCTATTAATTGTCTGATTTCCACACTGAATTTTTTCCCTTTTGGAGCCATTTAAATTTATTTTTATTTAGTTTTACCACTTTCTTGATCTAAATGCAATTTACAAATGAATACGACAAACAAAATACAGATTTGAAGTTCATATTTGCATAATAACGGGACTTTTAACATTGATACTTTGTTTTGTCCGATTTTGCGTTGAACACAATAAATTGAGTTAATTTTATACGAAATTTACTTTTATCACTAGGAAAGTTGTTGCTTTTTGTATTGTTCAGAAATATAAGT